CAGGGCAGGTGCTGGTTTAGGGGTGCAGATGTGAAGAGCGTGGCCCCCGGGTCCCTGACCGCAGCATGCTCTCTGTGCCCGGTCTGAGTGGGAGGGCAGCCTCCTCCTGTCACCTGTGGTCGGGTCTGAAAGATCACACAGAGGACTGTGGCCGGGGGCTGGACACCAGCTCCTCAGGAAGTTGGAATACTATAGGGATGTGTTCTATATTTTTAAAATTTACCAGTTGTAGTATACTTTTAGAAACTCTGAGCCCAGTATATTGATTTTTAACTCCTTCTAATATGGATTTAACATCCGAAATGAACAAATATGCACAAGAGTTTTCAAGTAACCCTTATTTTGAAATCGTTACCTCAATCCACTGAGGAATAATTTCTTTATTTCGAGTGGTAAACCAGGCTTCTCATCAGATTAAAGACGTTTTTCTTGAGTGAATTATTTACAAAGAGTGGAGAGAGAGAAACTGCCCCATTCTAAAAGATGCCTTACAGGGCGTTTGCTGATGCAGAGAGAATCTCCAGTTCTGCGGAGGAAAGACGTTAGTGATCTGACACCAGCCTCCTCCCATACTATCCCCAACATTAAAATCCATCAACGTATTGTTTTCTGAAAAAAAAAGTACTGGAAGAATTTTTGAAAGTATTTTTTTATGTGTGAAATGAAATACTTCAGAAAGTTCTTTCTCTAAATTGCTAATTTGTAAACACTTGTCTTTCAGGCCTTTCCATTTTGTCATCAGAAACTAACACCCGTGGCCCTGTCACTGGCCTCTCCCGCTGTCCGTTTTGTTCTTGATGAGGAAGGTCGGCTCAGACAGTCCTGAGCAGTCACATCCTGAGAGCGGGTGGAGTTGGGGCGACCAGGGAGCAGGAGGGAGGCGCCAACACTTCCAATCGTCCTGTGACAAGAAGGGTTTTCAGTGAACAAATTGAGGGGATAGGGAGAGGGGGTATCAGGCCTGGCAGCATAATGTCATACTTTATAACTGGCTGAAATCCCACTTTCTGGAAATTGCAGTATTCAAATCGGAACATCAATTTGCAGCCATCACAAATTTGAAGTTAGTGTTAAGTCCACAGTTTAAATGCCTGAAGTAAAAATGTGTGGCCAGATCGTACAGATCATGCAGCAGTAACTTGAACAACAATATTTTAGAGGGCCAGAATAGGAGATCTAACTTTAATATCCCAAAGTCACTTCTTCTGTTTGATGATGATAAATATATAATGGGTAAAAATTATCTCTATCTTTGAAAACAGCTCTCTCTCAAAATATTTATAGTCAGAAGATGATGTGGAGGTAGCTGGGTCCTACTATAGTGATGCCAGCTACCAAGATGTGAACGTGAATTAAATGTCAAAACATAGTTTGGGATTAAATGATAAAATGCAGAACAATATTTCCTGAAGGACCTTATCTCTTATGTTTGTGAACAAACGAAATGGATTGAATTTGAAATGAATTTATCGAATAGTTACCTTGATTCCAAACTTCACTCTCCAGAAGTCTCATTATAGATTTTGATTGTCTTCTGGATTCATTCCTTTGATTGGTGAGTGAGGACCCCGAGGGTGGAAAGGGAAGAAGTCATGTTTGTGGAGAAAATGCATCTAAATAGAGCTGGTCCCTCCGGCCGGCCTTAGTTTCTCTTTCCAGCTGAGCCTCGTGTCAGATCATCGTCTGGCACCTGATCTTTTACAGAGTTGACTCTGCAGAGTGTGTATTGAGCAGCTAATTGAGGAATGACTGTTTGGTTTAAATTTAAAAATACCTTTTGATAACATTAGTTCTCTCTAGACGTCTGCTATCAGAAACACTGTGGAGAATTCTACCAGGACTGTAAATTAAGACGGTCAGCCCTATGTGGCCGTGGGGCCCAACCAATCAGGGCAGAGAAGGACCCGTGACTTTGCTGGGCTGCCGTGTGGATGGAGTCAATTGAAAGCTGTGAGGCTGGCCCGGTGGCGCAAGCGGTTAGGTGCGCACGCTCTTCTGCTGCGGCCCGGGGTTCGCCGGTTCGGATCCCGGGTGCGCACCGACGCACCGCTTGGCAAGCCATGCTGGGGCGGCGTCCCATATAAAGTGGAGGAAGATGGGCATGGATGTTAGCCCAGGGCCAGTCTTCCTCAGCAAAAAAAA